TCAATGAAACTTCATCGGCCACTTTGTATAAACCAAAGACACCAGCATGTCAAATTTCAGCAAAATCAGACAAGGTTTGTGTCCTTATTAGGTCAAAGGTCAAAACTCGTGTTAATCAGTTTATTGGCACTTTTCGGATAATTTGAAACTAATTATGCTAATTGTTGAAAAAATTAATGGATAAAATTATATTTTAGAGAAGTTAAATGGATTTAAATAATTAAAAAGGGGGAAAAGTCTGCTCAGGTTGTCAAAGGGTATGACATAATGTGTGCAATTGATGTGTGTCAAGAATTTATGCAATATGAATTTTGATTCTTTATATAATGCTGTAGGTAACATAGAACCCATTCCCCGCCTATCTCGTTATCTTAAATGTCAAATGGAGTTCAAATACCAAGGTATGTTTTTAACATTTGATTGTTCAGATTACACTATTGTTAGTAGGAAAGAAATGCCTAATTTCTCAAAACTTAAGCTACTTGGTGTTTGTAATTATAGTTGTCCAAATTACTTATTAATTTGACACAATATTTTATTAATTATGAATGTGAACTGAAGTTAAAATGCTTTTAAATTCATTTTTTAGTGGCTCATATTAAGCGGATTGTGGGGATGCATGCAGTTGTAGCCTGGATGGGTGACTTAAAAAATTCAGGCCAGTTGCCAGTCAGAAGTGAACAATTTTTGTACCAGAAGCAGAGAAAGTGAGCATTCAGAAAACAAGATACACCTGTCATCAATATTGCAGTCAAAAGCAGCCAAGTTAAAGGTATACAATCAACTGATTCATAGTTTGTATTATTTTTTGTTTGTTTTCTTTTTTATATACTGTTTTCATCTGTTCATAATCATCTGTTGCTTATTAATGTATACTCTCTAAAACTTTCTTTTTTTCCTTCAGCTTTTGGAAATGAACATCTGCTGTCTGGTTGCTGGCACTGATCTGTGATTGTCCAAGACAGGGGAGGTCAGTAAGGTGATCAACATTTCATATGGGATGTTTGGTCCTACTGCCTTCTTCTACTCTTGTGGAACCTTGGACATCATTGTCGGTGGTCGCATATCAGACAAAATCATCATTTTTTGACAAAGACAGGTGTTTTAGAGAATTCGGATAAACTTTGTGCAGAAATAGTGCTCCACAAGACAGACAGAACTTATGTACTCCAGTTTAATAGAACCTTCTCTACCCCCCCCCCCCTTCCTGTTCTTAATAGTGAACTTCCAAGCAACTCCAGGACTAATTATATGTGACACAGGCATGGTATGTATTTTCTGTGTTAAACAATTGAATGTATGTATAAATGCGTTTTAATTGTTTTGTTCTTTGGTACCTTTACAGTGCAGAGTTACCTCCCCTTTTTTACAGCAGCCTGAAGAATGTATGTAGGTAAAATGTATATTTAAATTCCTTTTTTTGTAAATTCAGAATTATAAAATCCAAATTTTCATAGAATTTATGGTATTTGTTGTCTAATCATGCATATTGTTACAAGAAATATCCATCAAAGAAGTCTAAATATGACCAGGGATAATCCAATTAGAGTTGTAAGTACCACTTCCTGACAGAGGCTGAATTGACCAGGTTGGATAATCTGCTTATAACAAAGGTATTAATCTCTTTTCCTTAGCTTTTATACTGATTTTTCATAGCCTAAACATTGTAGAATTTTTTAATATTAGTTTTACTAAAATTTAAATGTGCTAAATATTTTTATTTTTAATATTCTAAAGAATTTTATGCTTTTTGAAGGTATTTTTTGAAATTTTTTAAAAAAATATTTACTAAAGTAAAAGGTTAAGTTTTTTTCTTGAAATTTGTGTAGGACATATTTATCTAGTTAACAAAAATATAAGAAAAGAAAATTACTGTAATATATGTGAGTTGTGAGCATTTCAAATCTGAGAACTGTATGTCTAATGCTTATTTTACCCTCTGCTTTAAGGTGTTCCAGCACATTATTTAAAGGGCCATACAAAACTTGGTAAATTTTTCTTGAAATGGTCTTACTCTGTAATCAGTAATTTTTTAAAATATTTTTTATTTATTGGCAGTCTGTGTCCTATGTCAAAACTCGGTTAATCAGTTTATTGGCATTTGATAATTTGAAACTAATTATGCTAATTGTTGAAAAAATTAATGGATAAAATTATATTTTAGAGAAGTTAAATGGATTTAAATAATTAAAAAGGGGGAGGGGGCACCTGCTCAGGTTGTCAAAGGGTATGACATAATGTGTGCAATTGATGTGTGTCAAGAATTTATGCAATATGAATTTTGATTCTTTATATAATGTTGTAGGTAACATAGAACCCATTCCCCACCTATCCTGTTATCTTACATGTCAAATGGAGTTCAAAAACCAAGGTATGTTTTTAACATTTGATTGTTCAGATTACACTATTGTTAGTAGGAAAGAAATGCCTAATTTCTCAAAACTTAAGCTACTTGGTGTTTGTAATTATAGTTGTCCAAATTACTTATTAATTTAACACAATATTTTATTAATTATGAATGTGAACTGAAGTTAAAATGCTTTCAAATTCATTTTTTTAGTAGCTAATATTTAGCGGATTGTGGGGATGCATGCAGTTGTAGCCTGGATGGCTGACTTTTAAAAAATTCAGGCCAGTTGCCAGTCAGAAGTGAACAATTTTTGTACCAGAAGCAGAGAAAGTGAGCATTCAGAAAACAAGATACAGCTGTCATCAAAATTGCAGTCAAAAGCATCCAAGTTAAAGGTATACAATCAACTGATTCATAGTTTGTATTATTTTTGTTTGTTTTCTTTTTTATACACTGTTTTCATCTGTTCATAATCATCTGTTGCTTATTAATGTATACTCTCTAAAACTTTCTTTTTTTCCTTCAGCTTTTGGAAATGAACATCTGCTGTCTGGTTGCTGGCACTGATCTGTGATTGTCCAAGACAGGGGAGGTCAGTAAGGTGCTCAACATTTCATATGGGATGTTTGGTCCTACTGCCTTCTTCTACTCTTGTGGAATCTTGGACATCATTGTCGGTGGTCGCATATCAGACAAAATCATCATTTTTTGACAAAGACAGGTGTTTCAGAGAATTAAGATAAACTTTGTGCAGAAATAGTGCTCCACAAGACAGACAGAACTTATGTACTCCAGTTTAATAGAACCTTCTCTACCCCCCTTTCCTGTTCTTAACAGTGAACTTCCAAGCAACTCCAGGACTAATTATATGTGACACAGGCATGGTATGTATTTTCTGTGTTAAACAATTGAATGTATGTATAAATGCATTTTAATTGTTTTGTTCTTTGGTACCTTTACAGTGTAGAGTTACCTCCCCTTTTTTACAGCAGCCTGAAGAATGTATGTAGGTAAAATGTATATTTAAATTCCTTTTTTTGTAAATTCAGAATTATAAAATCCAAATTTTCATAGAATGTTTGGTATTTGTTGTCTAATCATGCATATTGTTACAAGAAATATCCATCAAAGAAGTCTAAATATGACCAGGGATAATCCAATTAGAGTTGTAAGTACCACTTCCTGACAGAGGCTGAATTGACCAGGTTGGATAATCTGCTTATAACAAAGGTATTAATCTCTTTTCCTTAGCTTTTATACTGATTTTTCATAGCCTAAACATTGTAGAATTTTTTAATATTAGTTTTACTAAAATTTAAATGTGCTAAATATTTTTATTTTTAATATTTTCAAGAATTTTATGCTTTTTGAAGGTATTTTTTGAAATTTTTAAAAAATATATTTACTAAAGTAATAGGTTAAGTTTTTTTCTTGAATTTTGTGTAGGACATATTTATCTAGTTAACAAAAATAAGGAAAAAAAAATTACTGTAATATATGTGAGTTGTGAGCATTTCAAATCTGAGAACTGTATGTCTAATGCTTATTTTTATTTTCTATAGAAATACTAAACTGCTGTAAACCTCTATCATTTCGAAGAAAAATATTGATTAAAAAAAAATGAAAGGGCATGAAATTAAGCAATTTTGCTAGATGCACCTTTTTTCATCATAAACATACATACTTAGATCATTGGCATAAGAATTTTCAAAGAATTAATGTATTTTTAATATATCATATAAAGACCCCCTCCTCCTTACACCAAATGGAAAAACCCCTTATACAGGGGCCATGAAATTCAAATATTTAGTTGAGGCACTCTTGCTCATTATAACTATATACTAAGTTAATTTATTTAATACCCAGGAGCAGAGAAGAAAATTTTCAAAGAATTGATTCATTTTCACTATATAATCAATAGAGCCCCGTCCTAACACCAGAACCCCTGACCTTGGGGCCATAAAATTCACAATGTTTGAAGAGGCACTATTGTTCGTCATAACTTTGTACTAAGTAAGTTTATTTAATACCCAGGAGCAGAGAAGAAAATTTTAAAAGAATTAATGAATTTTCACTATATTATCAATAGAGTCCCATCCTATCATTAGAACCCCTGACCCTGGGGCCATAAAATTCACAATTTTAAAAGAGGCATTCTTGCTCATCTTAACTATGTACTTAGTTAGTTTATATAACACCCAGAAGCAGAGAAGAAGATTTTCAAAGAAATAATGCATTTTCGCTATATAATCTATGTAGCCCCTCCCTTGCACTAGAACCCCTGACCCTGGGGCCATGAATTTCGCAATTTTTGTAGACGACTCAGTGCTCATTACATTCATATCAATAATTTGACTGCTTGATGTCCAGGAGTTAAGAAGAAGATTTTTAAAGATTTCATTAATTTTAGTGGTTTTCGCCCCACAACTCAGGCCCCAGAGGGGCGGGGACCATAAAATATCCACAATTTTTGTTCCCCTTCCCACATTGATGTTGATACTAAATTTCCTTGAAATTGGTTCAATGGTTTCAGAGAAGAAACTGAAAATGTTCAAATGTTAACACACGACACACGACACACGACGCAAGACGACGGACGAAAACAGAAAGCAATAGGTCACCTGAGTCACTCAGGTATATAAAATCTTACCGTGCAACTGTTGCACAACCTCCCCCTGAAGCCAACTTTACAAACACAACGTCCGCACTCACAAACACCGTTTCCAGAACATATTGTCTACAAAAATGTGGAAAAAATACGATAGAGTGTGCTTATATTATTTCAGATCACACATATAATAAAGAACGTTCATTTATTCATTTTAAAAACATTATGCAGGTTCTAACTTCATTCCGTCAAGATGTTTTAATCAGATTTTAATACCTGTGAGCACATTTTGCAGAAACAAACCTCATATGCAAACGTTTTAAACTATTTCTGACCAAGATTTCTCGAATTTTTTTGAATATATATTTTTATTATCTACATATCTACGGTATATTGGTTCCAAAGTTTAAAAAAAATATCATTGGTGTGAATACTTATAATTTCTGTATTAATTTAAATTAAAAAGAGTTTTAAAAGCCACACAATCATAAGAGTTTCAAGAAAAGGCGTGTGAACTTCAATATTTCATAATTTATATGTAATAAACAAAGTGTTGCATAAACACCTGAGAAAAATATTTTCCCTTGTTATATTTTTTCTAAAAAACGAAAACATCAATTCTCTGGTAAAATTAAGAAGGGTATACTATTTTGTAGATTACGGCTGACCAAAATGAGAATACTGACTTCGTTGTTGCTTTTACAGGGATCCTCTGATTTCAAACATTCACAAGCATCCCCTGTATAATTTTCGTTACAAACACATGTTCCACAGTCGCATCGTCCTCGTTCTTGACCTTGTAAGTAAATCATATAAGATTATATTATTGATTTTCTTATTTTTATTAATTTGAATAAATTTGATATTAATTAATTACAGTAAGTTGTTACTTATTCATTGTACTCATTGTATTTTTGCTTTGCAAAATGCGTTAATAACTCATGAAAGAAATAAACGAACCACCACAGAGTAGTTTGTCATAGGTCCTACAGTTTTCGTTATTGCATTCACATTTCTCTCCACTGTATCCATGGTAACATTCACACTTCCGGCATGTACATTTTCCGGCACCATTGCAGATTCTTTTCAGGATGAATGGATGAAAAGCAGAAAAGTATACGATAAAAGTCAACAAAAAGATCTTTGTTACATTTTTTGAATTTGGTTATCAGATAAAATGTTTTAAAAATGTATTAAGATGTAGGTTTTTGTTCTTTATCCTTGTGACGAATTTCATTTAACCATTGATAGGGAATGTCACACATGACACCAATACAACAGGAAATGTACATAATAGCAGTATAACAAAACGATCGTATGCCAGAAAACAAACATCCAAGAACGGATGTATAAACCTAACCATGTAAAACTAAGAAAAAAGAATACAAGGGAAGTTTAATATGAAATTCAAAAGTGAAATGTGAAGAATACACTATCGAAGAATTTGAAAGAGATAGAGACCAGTATCCACTCCATTTTAATAGTAAGCATGAGCGAACCTCGTAATAAATCCCAGACCAACTAATTCATTAAACAGAACCTGGACTTTAAAATCCTGCTTGCATTTAAGATTGTCTCTCTAATCAAATCAGAAATTATGTTCTTGCTTTCCTTTCTTTGCCATAGACAACTCAAAAAATATATTTCCAACATCATTTAATTAAAACTTTTAAAATGTTTAAGTCTTAAACCAATCACGATCTCCTTACTTTTTGAATCTCATATATGATGCCCAGTGACAAAAATGGCCAAAGGTTTCATTTTTTGGAATAACAATATGAATTTAATCTGAATGAAAGTTCAATAGCGCACACATTAACAATATCAACAAGCAGTAAAAATTATTTAATTTTTACATAGCCATTATGACATTGTTGCTCTTAAAGAATCTAAACACGTCCATTCTCAAAAATAGAATTCCTTCAGTGACATCATTAGAGAGAAGACATCATTAGAGAGAAATAAGCATAAAAAGAAAACTAGCGAGAGACCTTTTCGATTCTTAAGGAAGGATTCTTCTCATATTTCTTGTATTTAAAAATTAATGAAATTTTCACAGAATCAAGAAGACAATATCAGTAAGTGATAGTATCAGTGAGATTAAATTTGACAGTATTATATAAGGGGTCAGGTCAAGTCTAGGTCATTATATTTTTTCTTGACATTAAGAATTAAAAAATACTGTTGCCAATCTTGTGATGCCTACTCCTATTTCAAAAGTTAAAAGATTGTTCTTTTTGCATAAAAAGATGTAACTTTATCGGGTCTATAGCATGGTATTACCAAATTTACATGAATAATTTAACTAAAATGGATATTGGCTAATCCGAATTTTCTCTGTTTTTCTTAATTTTTAAGGATATTTTAGCTATTTTTATATGCTTCCTATATTTAACTTTTTCTTATTTTCACATATAAAGTAGTCTTATAAATGTACAAAATTATACAAAAACAAAAGGTTTTGATGGTTTACTAAGAGAGAAAAAATACTTTTTATGGATTTTTGGCCCAATTCTGCACTTTGATAGGAAGCGTTTAAAAGCTAACATAGTTATGGTTTGTTTGAAAAATCATATTTGTTTGATATATTTTGAAAGTTTAGTCCCTTACTATAAATTTACCTTACATTTGAAAATTTCTCCAAGTCTTTGATTGTGTATGAATTATCACTAAATTCATTGTTGTATTATAATGTTGAGATGCAGAAAAGAAGATATTTTCATACGCCACCATTCCGCCAAAAATATAGTCCCTGCTAGTTTTAAACACAGTTTATCATTTCTATTTAAAGTTGCACAATTGTGATTGAGCCGGGAGTAGGAAAAGACATTGCATGGCAAATTCTGGGCATCTGTCAACAGATGACGGGGAACCACCATCTAGTCAGAAACCAGAGAAGAATCCTTCCTTAAATTAAATCGGTTAAGTTTTAATATTTATGTACAACATGATGATTTCCTTTTTTGGCACAGGGCAACTGAAGCATGTAACACATGTAATATACATATCGATTGATACATCTCATTTTGAACAGACCAAAGTTTCCTTTGAAATGCATTTGAAGTATTTTTTTTAAATCGTGGATACAAAACACATACATATATATATAACAAAGCTTATCAGGAAAGCACCACATTGATAACAAGATTTCTCCTATGATCTTTATCAGAAGAACCATTGACACTTTATGTTAATCTTCTCTATACCTCCTGAGATCTGAGTATAAAGTCAGTATTCTTATCAGCGTGGCAGTTTGTATTCTGTGGATTGGATCTTGTTGGAGTGATTGTAGGTATGAATACAGAGCAGCCTTGTGGTTCCCCGTCATCTGTTGACAGATGCCCAGAATTTGCCATGCAATGTCTTTTCCTATTCCTGGCTCAATCTCGACCTCACCACGGTGGACTAAATCCTGTAGATCATTAAGAGCTGAATGTGCTTTCTTTCTGTCAATATGTATATAGCATAAAATTTCTAGCATTAGTAACATTACACGATCTGCGATAGCTATTCCAAACATGCCATTTTGTCTATTTGATGCAATTTCCGGTACTAATTCGTTAATGTAACGGGTCTTTCCGTCAACAATGATATGCATTGCTACCGCCTGTCTCATCTTTGTAGACAATGGTTTTCCTCCTAGGACCTCTGTATAGCTTTTATCGGCAACTTTATGAGATCGCAGTATATATGGCCGTGTTAATTTGAGCTTTGTCGTTTTAATGAAAAACAAAGATTTCACGTACCGCAATGTCTTGTAATAATATATGGCAGTATACAACATATCTGAAATAAATCCAAATTTTGCAGCCTGTTTTACCATGTAACAGGAAGTTTTGTCGGCGACATAAACACGTTTGTTTAGACCCGTTTTTTTGTTCAGTTCGTGTAATATAAAAGCAGTTGCCTGAAATATGTCAGCAATAGATCTGAGTAACATGATAACGTGGTACTCCGTCAGGTGTGAACTTATCAATTTCTCTACTGTTATTAAGCACCGCATACACGAGGGAAGGTCATCATATACCAGATTCTTTTTCGATATTTCAGTGAAGAGTTCTGGATCAAACTCGTCCTCAAAGATTCTAATGTACTCTGTGCAAATGCGTCTTGGATCCAAAAGAGAAGTTATTATCCAAAAGTTGATAGAAGGACTTAGCAGTAGAAATGCTATTCCCTTCTGATACAGTGCATAGAGATTATTGAATAAATTCTTTTGTGCTTCGCCATATATATTATGGAGAAACATGTTGTTTTCTGGTATGAAGAAATTAGGACATACTCCCTCGTACACCCATTTGAGGATCAATTTAAAGCAGACCCAGAAACACTCCAGTAAATTTTGTGGACACCAGAAATAAATTATGTTGTGTTGAATTCCCCAGAAAACTGCTGTTTTCATATGGTATGAACATAGCAATTTACCTTCATTTCCAAGCATTCTGTGAAAAATTTCCTTTGTTAAAATCTTTAGCAATCCATACACGAGAAATTGACAATGGTTCATTTCGAATACAAGTTTTTGTTCAGCCAAAGAGAATGAAATTCTCCATTCATCATGTTCATGATTCCCTAATTTGTGCCCGATTGCTACAAAATGGCATCCTTTATTGACTATATCTTGAACAGCACGCGGAGGAGGCCAGTTGTGACATCTTTCAATCCATGGGAAGGCAGATGGAGGCCAAAAGTCGCTGGCAAAACACCACGCCATATCTATTTCATCATTGCCACTCACATCACTCACACATGGTCCATGCTGAACACAATTACCCCCACAACATTTTCTTTGAAAGAAACACATCATCTGTTTATGTTTAGAACTAGATATATAAAATTTTCCATTTATTGGAATACAAGTCGTTATGAAAGCTTTGCAGTGGATATTTGGTGACAAAAGCTGAAGCAATGTGAATCCTGGTGGGCTATCGGTGCAGTTGGCAAAAATAAGGGCTCTGTCGTTGTAAAATTGAGCTTGATTTAAATCCCAAATCACTTTATTTTGCTTTAACCAATACATGTAATCAAAATCTGACCCAGCTAGTCTAAATCCTTCCGCTCTTACTTCCACCCCAAAGAAAACCAGTACCCTTTGGCAATCTTGAATCACGTAATTTTTATTGGATGTCCTCTATTTCTCTTCTCATGGCCACCAGTTCTGAAGTCCCCAGTTTTAGACACAGACCCATATACAAGGACTCTGATAGGGCGCTGATAACGAAAATTTTAACATCAAGATGATATAATAAAAATTCATTTAATTGCATCTTTCTTTTCTATTAGGCTCAATAAATAAAATCGTACCGGATATATACCTTTTCTTTTGAAAGAAAATTTTTGTACATACATGAATGGTGATGAGTTGAATGCCATTTAACTGCTTGAATGGAATGGTTTCTGATTTATTAATTTTTTGTTTTTACACATGTAACTTTGCAGCTTTAAATGCCTAGGTGTCTGTATTCATCTTTTTATACCAAACACAGATATCAAAGTAGAAAATCTGTTAAATGCTGTGACGTAACAATTTTTCCCCGCCTTTCTTCTCTGTTATCTTCAGTTAACACGATTCGTAAAAGGAAGAGTTAGCTTTTTGTCAGCTGTCTTCTCCATTTCTTTAGGCTGGGTTCCTCCGGATCTAGAGTTATCAGAAGTTCATAACACACTGTATTTCCATCTCTATTTTTATTCTCTCCAGATGCCTCTCCCTACCGTAATACTTTTGTTAAGGGCACTGATTAGATTGCATAGGCGTCGGTAAACCGGGGGAGGGGGATAGGAGGGCCTTGGCTTAGCCCCTTTTTCGCAAAAATAAACATTATGTAGCCATTTAAAATAACTTACTTCTTTGGCTGTTGTACAGAACATGACCCACAGAAAGTTTCCATATTATAAACATGATGTATGCGATATTTATTGATTAACTATTTGAGTTCAAGTAGGCGTGTACATAAAGTCCAAAGATATTTTCATGTATGGATTTAAATATTTTTTTAATAACTCTGATTTTAAAAAGTTAAGATAAATTTGAATACTGTGGAATCATCATTGTTTGTTTAATTATTCATTAAAAATTGAATTAC